AAAAGAATTCACTGCAATTTCAGATGAAGCGATGTCTGTGATTATCTGAAGGGCGGAGATGGTGTGCTTGTTAAGGCTGATTTACACGGCACGACTGTCTCGTGCGATTTGTAGTATACGACTTGAATCGTGCAGTGTAAATGCCCCTACGACTTGTCTACAACAGTCGTACGCAACCTACGACTTGTAGTAGGGTTTTGAACCGTGGCTTAAAATCCTACGACTTGTAGTAGGAAAATCGTATACTACAAGTCGCGCGCGACAAATCGTACCGTGTAAATCAGCCTTTACGCTTCTAAGGTCGGGATTCCTGTGTCGTTGCTGTGGTTTTATACGGTCAGCGGTGTTGATATTTTGTGCCCGCCATTGTTTAGTCAGTTTTAATTGAAATATGAAATAAAATCACATGGGAAATGTGTGAGTGTAATATCTGTGATATGATAACAAGCTTGGGCTGCCTGTGCCAAAAATTGCACGCGCGTGCGCAGTCGAAAAAGCCCATTGTACCGTCATCAATCAGAAAACTTCATTTACATGACAAAAACCCTAAAAAGTCTTGTAATTCAATTTTTTGAGAATGGAACGGGAAGACAGAGTATGTGACACTACAGCACAAGCTTACATCAAACTAGAAACTGCTTTATCATTGTACAGGGCACTGGAAAACAACACCAGCCAACAAGAACAACTTTTTCTTCTCGCTGCTTTACGAGACGTCAAGATCCTTCTATGTGATGGAGAAGAGAACATTACATCATTACAGCAGGGAATTGTGAAGACCGTCGATAATTTTGGCAGCCATCTTGGACTGATTGYGMTTAACCGTCTAGTGCACGATGTTGAACTGATTAAGAGAGAACTGGAAAACTTTGACAATGGAAAAGAGTGTGGTAAGAAAGAAGAAAGAAAACCAAAGCATTTGACAAATGAAGATGTGGAGCTATCTGATGAAGGTAAAAGGAAAATCGAATAAATCAATTCCACGACAAATTAATATTTAAGAGAACGAGAGATATTTTGATGACTGTTTTGTTTGTAACTCGACATCTTTCTGGTCATAATTTTTCTAAGTTTTAGTAAGTATTCAATATTTTTGAATTAATTTTAAAATGCTAACCATTTATTGTAATGTAGATAACCTGTGTTTTGAAAGAATAACGAAAAGACGACRTGAGCTTCTATCTGAAGTAGAGGYRTTTCTACCTGTTGAGARAGAYACCAAAAGAGCTGGATTTTTACCGTCCAGAACCATCTTGAGGAACTCTGYACCATCCAGCGATACAACAGAAGATGTATCAGATCGAAACCAGACCAATAACGACACGATTAAACAACTGAAAAACGCTTTGCGCGATAAACAAACCAGGCTGCAGACAAGGAGAACACGACTTGTTCCTAGAAAGGTATTTTAGCATGATCATTTTAATCTTAAGACATTTTGGTATACGGTTCTAGTGTTAAATCGGATGTTATTTCATTTTTTTCTTTTTTTTTTCAAAAATCCRCCTTTCCCTCTCCCAGCAAGATTCTCTTAWGAAAAAGATTGTGAGATGTGATCATTACTGAAGCTAAGATATCACTGATGATCGATTAATTGTASGCAGCTATAGATCTTACAAYAGCATTGCGATCTCGATTATCTAGAGATCACAGCCACAATGTTACGGTCTTTGTCAATCTGCGCACATCAGCATATAATTGATTGAGGTCTTCTGAAGCATGAAAAACATCAAGTTAGTTTTATTACCGAGCTTTCAGTTACCTGGCTCTCATTTACCTGAAAGATCTATCGCTATTGCCTCAATCATTGATAATTATTCACCACTATCATTTTYAGAAATCATCGTCATAATTATCACCATMKCAAGGTTTCTGGTGCTCGATGTACGCTATTATCTTCATTATTGTTAAACTTCACCGACCTCGATAACAACCATAAWAGGWTCAAGCTGTTCACTCAATGATGATTGTTCGTCACGATCATTTTCAACTTCATCAGAAATCATCGTTACAATAATCACCATCACTCTTTGACAAACTTATCTTAATGATTTCTCTCTCCAAAGGTCTCTGGTGCTCGCTGTACACTACACAACGGGGGCAACAACATCGAGAGATCCAAGATCACCCGTAACTCGAGAGCAAACAAGAAGGCAATAAAAGTCGATCCGAATAGTTTTGATCTCTGCGTTGAATGCAAAGCAATTTTGAAAGAAAAAGATTTGTTTTGGGGTCTGGAAGACAAGAATGAGAGCGATGGTGACGTCGAGGAACAGATTTGAAAACGACATATTCTGAACTCTACCATAACACAGGTATCTACACTGATTGATTGATTGGCTGAATTACCGGACCAAATGATTGATTGATTGATTTTTACTGAATATCGTTGAAGAAAGACGGGCAAACACCACTACCAATTATAATCAAGGACACCAAATCTGACAAGATATACATGATCCATCATAAGCCCGCTGGT